TAACCTCAACATGTTTTTGGACTTTGTGGGAGGAAGCCGGAGAACCCGGAGAGAACCCGGGGAGAACGTGGAGACTCCACGCAGAAAGATCCCGGGCGTCCTAATTGGGATGCGAACTGGGGATCTTCTAGCTGCGAGGTGACGGTGCTAACCACCACAAATATTTAATTTAGATAAATACATTATTATTTACTCCAGCAGATAACTTCAACAATAGGTACAACAATTGGTACTAATTTCTAAGTCAGTGACTTTTAATGAAATTTGCTGGCAGCTTATTCTGAGTACTAAGGGTGATGAGGGCATTGATAAACATGTTGTTTTTGCTTTTTTATTGGATTTATAAATGTTTTTTTTTTGCCTATGTATATGGAAAGAGGCATACATTTCAGAGACCTTTATCTGAAAACTAAAAAATGAATGCATGCTTATTAAGATGCCACCAAGAGTAAAACAGAAAAGTTATTTTTTTTTTTGTCTTTTTGTACATTTGGAGAACAGACTCCTCAACAGAGCTAACGTCTTTGTTTGCCATCATCACAACATAAAAATCTAAAGCATTTAAGCCTCTCAGCTGCTTGGCTTTAGCAACTGATTAAAAAACCCGAAGGTTTTCCGTTGACTGTCACGGCTGTGCTCGAGCCCATTACTGTAAATGCAGCAAAACATTCTTGCACAGTACAACAAGCATGTCACCTGTTGCCCTTGGCATGATTACGCAAAACTGTTTCCAGCATTCCCATGTTTTGTAATTGTCTGTGTAGTCACCACCTCCCCCTCGTCTCAGTCAGCCATTACAAGATATCTGGGAGGCAATAAACCTGCCTTCTTTGAAGCAGGCACCTTCCACAGCACCACAACAGAGGCGGCTGGAGGTGGACTGCCTGCTCTTGCATCGGGTGTTAGTGAGTAAGCACTGAGTCACGGAGCGGGAACAGAGTGGAGTACCTGTACGGCAACAATGTAAGCAGTCTTTAAAAGGAGCATAGTAATTTTCACTTTCCGTGCAGCGAGACGGTCGGCCCCCTCTGGCTCTTTAAATCACAGGAGTGGCGTCACTGCTGGAGCAGGAAGATACGCTGGCAACCGAACAGGCGAACGCACACTCACTCACACACACACAATAACACACAATAACACACAAGCCAAGTGCTCAAGTGGAAGCAATTGAAATGACGAAGACAAATAAATGAGAAATGAGCAACGCACAAACAGAAGCTTGCAAAAACAGATGTGTATGTTCACACACAAACGCACGTATTTAAATTTAGGAGCACATACACGGAAAATGATCATCAAGAATTAAACAAAACTTTTTTAAGACTGTATTATTCACACACAAACTATACTTTATGATAAATTCTAAAAGTGATGTTAAAATATTAAGAGAGAAGGAGGGCCAAACAGGCTCACTCTTTACCTAAACATTATAAATTATTCATAACGTGGCAGATATTATGGAAGACAATAAAAACAATTTCAAAAAACTAGATTAAAAGAAAGATAAAGTTGTCAATTTGAGCTTACTATAATATAATCTAATAAATTACACATATCAAACCAAGAGTGAAGGTTGAGTTACACAAATAATTATTTATAATGTTTTGGGGACACAACGTAGACACACACACACACACATGAGAGCACACACACACAAATGTGTCCGTGCCCATGAGGTGTCTTCGTCTCCATGAGGAGAGCAGGCCAGACGGAAATGAGCCCTCTGTTATTTGGACTGAGTGTTGTCATTAATTCTGTCTGCATCAAACACAGCACATGTTATTTACACTAAAGACCACAATCTGGCTTTGAAAGACTCTGGGCGTGTGTGTGTGTGTGTGTGTGTGTGTGTGTGTGTGTGTTTGGGGAGGGGGGATCTTTCCTCTATGGAAGGCAATCTCCTGTTAAGTCATCCACAGTGACTTCTAAGTGCCAAACAGCTTTGTTCTTCTCAGCGTCTGCACCTTTTTCCATCTCTTATCTACTTTCTTTTCTCCGAGCTGAGTGCCTTCACCGGGTTATGTCTTATCGTGTTTGGTCTTGCCGCTACAAATCTGCCTAACAAAACACTGGATGTTCTACTCAGCAACAACATAAGCTCGACAGGGTTTCTACACATGTTTGAGTTATTATTTTTTTTGCTTGATTTGAGTTCTTCTATTTGTTTTGAGGTAATTTTGCGATGTGGAGTTCTTTGATTAAAGGATAAAATGAGTTTATTACAACCCGAATCCTTTTGGCCGTGATTCCTAACAGCAGCATTAAGATCGTTTGCTGTGAGTTAACTATTGAGATCTGGGTACACAGTGATGTCTCGAAATCTACGAGCGGTGGGGAACGGTCAAAGTTCCCTGGTTCAAAATTAACAGCTTGTTTGCCGTAGTTGTATTTGCACACAGCTTTTCCTGTGCAACAAGGGACTATTGCTGACTATTGGTTTAGTTCCCACTAAGATGGTTTTATTTGTCTCATGGGATAAAAAAACAACAGGAAAAACCAACACGGAGACAACGCAAGAACTGAAGAAATGCATGATTCTTGCCAAAGCTAAAAATCTAAACATTCGCATCAACTCAAGTCGAGTTTCTTCCAAACTACTTGTGGAAATCCTAAACTTCTCTGGAACCCTCGTGGCACTTCTGCACAGTGAAAGTAGTTGCGAAGTGCTGCAGAGAAGTGCCATTAGAAGTATTTTTAAGATCATAATGAAGTGATTTAGTTCCCACTCTTCTCCAGACTTTCCAGACCTTCTTTGGTTGTAAATATTTAGCAGTTTGTAAGATTAAAACCACACCATCTCCACAACAATCCAGACTTTTTCAGGAATGATGCTTATTTTCTCCAGCGTGTTTGGAAATCGCACAGCGAGGCTCTAACAAGCTTTGATGCTACAACTGTCATGAAACCGACTCGGCTCATAAATGACCATGGAAACTTTCAATTCAGCCGTGAAAAAAAAAAAAAAAAAACGCCCCAAACTGGAACGGTCTGGGTTTCTTCTCGCCACCAGCAGTTACACGGTTTTACAGCTGCAACAAGTGCATGTCAGAGAGGGTGGATCGTGTTTGCTCGGACTGCATGTTTCAGTGCGCCACTTTAAAGAGTTATGTTTTATTACTAAAACAAGAATGCCTTTGTCGAAGTGTAAAATGGTTTATTTATGCGCTGAAAGTAAAAATAAAAGAATCCTTCGCGCTTTGAAACTTCACGCAAAACACTCAGCGTTGACAGTGATTGACAGCTGTACCTCCGCCCTTGTTGTTGTGCAAAATGTAAATGCAGCCATATGTGCAGCCCAGCAGGTCTCATTAAAACTTAACACGCCTGATAATAAATCATCACGATGGGAAATTACCAGCAGTCGCAGCAGATACGGCGACGGAAAAAGACGCTTTGTAGGAAAGTTCTCTCGCTGAAGTCCTGCTCTTGCTCTCTGAACATCTACAAATCTTTCTGTTTCCATCAGATGACACCTGACACAGTCATTTAAAGCCAGATCTGTTTACTGAGCTATTTGCTGCTCCATTTTCTTAGATTATTTTCCCTAACTTGCCCTGACAGGCCCCAAAGTCAATTTAATTTGTTCACAGCACTCAGTGACAGTGTAGGGGGGCCTTTCTGTTTGCTATGACTTGAGATCAAGGCTAATGGACTCACATCCAGCCACTAGACTCAAAGCAGACTGTCAACATGTTTTTGTTGCAGAAATCCAGATGTTTTCCAATTCTCTTTTTTTCTTTTTTTTTTTTTGGACTGGATTGAATAATGCTCTTCAGTAAGATTAAGTAGACTTTAAATTATGTTTGCTTGTGCTGGTGCTCGACGTTATTCCATCAAAATGCCAGGCTTTGCTGGAAGAATACGCAAACCAATTCTCCGCACCTCACCAGCCATTCCTGCTTCGCGTAGAAACCCCCCCCAACACTTGACTCAAAGCGCTTTTCCCCTGCTGTCTGGCTCACGGCAGGCTAATGTTTTCCAGGCAAGATTCCGCCGCTTATTCATCTCGTCTTTCTTTTTTGTCCTCCAAAGGGACTTTTTACCTGAGTCAGGAGAAAATCTACGACGGCTTTGTGGAAACACCCGACCTGAGGCTGCTTGTCTGCTTGCAGCTCCTTATCCCAGACTGAACCCTGAGGCTCGCCCACTGCTTTAACTTGGGTCAATGGAATTGCACACAAACGTAGGAGAGTCACACGTATCAAATTTACAGGAACAAATGAATAACGTCCAAAAAGCACCCACGCCAACCGGGATCCCACATGTCTCAGACAGATATTTTGTTTTGTTTTATTGTTTGGCTGTCATTATTTGACGCAAAGCGTTTTAAGCAAAGGTCACGGGACAAGAAAGAACATGTAAAACGGCGAACTTCACAACGGTGCTCAAGCCACGATGCATAATTAATATTCCTACTCGTGTTGCACTAAAAAATTAAAAGAATGGCTTAAAGCAGGTTAATAAATTGCTTTCATTGTATGTAGAGAGCTATGAATTGCCTCATAATAATAAAAAAAGGCTTAGACATTTACTCATGTTGTTTAAAGGTGGGCATGAATGTACTGTAGGCGTTTTTATCACAGAGTTTAAGTTCAGATGATATAATAGTTGATAAATTAAGTCAACAAAGGGTACGTGAGTATGATTACTTGGAGTTACTCATGTTAAAAGGAAAGAGAAAGGAAGAGGGAGTCTGTTTACTCACTTTTTACCTGCTAACTAGATAAGAAGAATATAGATAATGACTCCAAATAGCAGCTGATAACCTGTACAGTAGTCGAGCGTCTCAGACTAAGTGAGTCAGTGAACGCTCGGAGGTGATTTCCGTGCTGAAGCGATACAGGCAGACTGTTAAACAGCCCTCTGGCTCCATCTACAGGAAGGAAACAGCAAACCTCACCCGTAATGTATTAACTATAAATCAAGATCTAAAGTTATTGTGGAGGATAAAACAGCTCGGGTTGCTGGTGTTAAGCTGTACCGACACGTGTATGTGTTACCTGGTATATTCTGAAGGGGATGTATCTGAAGCCTCCCTCCTCGGTGGGATATTCCATCAGCTTCCTGTTCATGGCCCAGAATTGGTCAAACTTATCTGGAACAACACAAACACACACACATCAGCCATCAACTGAGTTTTCAGGTTCGCTTTTCAGAGCAACAATAAACGCTCAAATACACAGATAATTAAAGATTACACGACAAGCAATGCACATTTTTCGATCCACATCACAATACGATGATTATTATCACACTGTTCATCATCATTTATTGGTTTTCTAATCCACTAATTATTGTAGCTTGAAGTGAAGGTACGTTTGACCAACAAAACCTGGCAAAAAGATTTGTAATCTTGTGTTAAGTGCCAGTATTGAGCAACTAGGTTTGCCTACAGATACCTGCATTCAGTCGTTTTTGGGGTTGGTGCAAAGAGTAGATATCATAATGGCAACGCTGTCACAAAAAAATTAATAAATAAATACTCAAATATAATACTCAAAAAAAACCTAATGATGATCCGACTACTATTGTACAATAAAATTACATGAAATCCCAACACACCCTCTAAAGTGGACCTGAATTCTGAGAAACAGGATGTGACAAACAGGATTTACATGAAATGTGATGAATGAGAGCTTCCAGCTATTTAACGTTTTGGATGATTAACAACAGCCAATAGATAGCAACCACTTGACTCACTTTTTAGATTCCCGAATGTGTGATAAAACCATTTCGGGTAGCCAGAGCGTCAACGTGACTATAAACTAATTGCATTTTAATGGGCAAGGTGGTGCAATTGGTAGCACCACTGCCTCGCAGCTAGAAGGTCGGCGGTTTGTGTCCCGGTGAGGACACCCGAGATCTTTCTGCGTGGAGTTTGCATGGTCTCTCCGTGCAGCGTGGGTTCTCTCCAGGTTCTCCAGCTTCCTCCCACAGTCCAAAAACGTGTTGAGGCTAATTGGTGATTCTAAATTGTCCGAATGTGAGTGTGCTTGGTTGTCTGTCTCTAAGTGTGGCCCTGTGATAGACTGGTGACCTGTTCAGGTGTTCCCTGCCTTCACCCCTGACCCGAGTCAGCTGGGATAGACTCCAGCCCCCCATGACCCTAGTGAGGATTAAGCGGTGTATAGATAACGGATGGATGCTATTAAAAATGGCAGCAGGATAAAATACGCATGCAGTGTTACACATTTGCATTAAACAAAAACAATAAACACTTGTTCTTTAACTCTAAAAAAAACATGTTTCTCCACACAAGTGCACCTTCATGTGGAGGTCAGAGGAAGGACCCCTCTAAGGTTGATGGAAAATCAGTGGAAATGTTACTGGAAACTCACTGAGCAGGCGCCACAAAGTCTTTTGGTTAAAGAAACGTCTCTCACCATCAGTAATGATTGCACGCACCATGTGCTGGTTTCAAACCCTCCACCTCCTCTTTGTGTCTTGCTTTCACATGAACCTTCTGTTTTTGTCTCTCTTGGATGAAAGTTTGAGCTTTCTCTGTTTCTAGTCTCTTTTGGATGTGAAAGTTTTAGTTTAAATAAAGTTTCATCTCTCGCTTTCATCTGCCAGGCCGACTCCTTCTTTTTGGATTAGTTAAGACATCTTGGATTTTCTGTAGTTTCAAAGGAAGAATGTCATGAACCACACCTCAACTTCAGTTTAAAGCCTCATCTATTAGTCTGTGTCCTAATTTTACTCTCTTTTTTTTTTTGTCCTTTTTGTATTAAGATGTGAGATTTTTTTCCTCTCTTTTACATGATTAGTTTCAAGGGAAAGTGAAAGAGAGATAGGCAGATGAAGTGTTCTGGGTTGGAAGCCCTTGGGGTTTTCTGCAAACTTCTTCAAAACATTCTCAAACTCACTCTCAACTCCTCACCGCACAGTTTTAACAGTTACGGCCCAAAAACATGCAAATATTAAAAAAAATGATCTCAAGTGCTTTGGGGACTTTATTTGCTGGTTGCTGTTGTTTGCTGCCGATGCAGTTCTCGCTTTTACAGTAAAACCACACCATGATTCAGAGATTAATGTCTTTTCCTTCGAGTTTTGTTTAGAAATACGCTCAGGAGGTGAATATTTTCATAAACAGCAGCTCAAATACAAACAACCAGAAATTTTCAAGGTGTGAGAAAACTAGTCGCGTTAAAACTGATGGTACAAATGTTGTTTGACAAGTTACAAGTGAGTTAAATGCAGTAGTGCAGTGGTGTAAATCCTCTGTTTGATAAACCCTGTCACCCATTACTCAGCAGAAAGTATGTTGCATCACACTAAACTTCACAGATAGGTACAAGATCATAGTACAGATTGTATGCAAATGTTTAAATACACAAACATCTGATAAATAAAAGCTGTTACGTGACTACGATAATACGTTCTAAAAATATGACCCTGTGTAGGTTAAAGCTTCAAAACAGCAGGAACTTCAAGTTATCAATTTATATATCTATCGTGAACGGATACAGTGACTTTTTCAATAAAAAAAACGATCTATGAAAATTGTGATCATCGTTAAAGTCATCTAATCACACAAAAATGCTGCATATTTGCATGTTCCAGCTTCTCAAATCACCTCCAGAACCGATCCTTGTCGGTCATTTTATAAGAATTTTAAGAACTGTTGGATTGTTTGAAAAAGTAATGAAGCAGTAAACTGAGCAACAAGCTGCAGCGCTGATAAATTCAGCCTGTTCTCGCTTTTGCCCTCAGGAAAGAGGTACCGATCTGTACTATACTATACTATACTATACATGTTAGATTACAATTATGTTTTAATTTTTATATACTATACTATATTCTATTCTATATTCTTTATTTTGTATATATTTTATATATATTCTATTACTTAGAATAATGATTTATTTATAAAATGTATATTTCTCATATATCCACAGTATTCCTGCCTCAGCAGTGCAACATATTTATTCTACCGGCTGGATAACTGTCTATACTTCCTACTGACTCCTTTTGTAAATATATGTATATATTCTTATTTGTCTTTTTATACTTTTGCACCACTGGAGTTGTCTTTTAATTTCGTTGTACTTTGTGTATGATGACAATAAAAGCATTTTATTCTATAGCTACGTCAGGACTAGCTGGCTCAGGAACAGCATCTTCCTCTCAGCTATCACACTACTAACCTCTGCACCAAAGCGATCTACTTATCATCTACCTTTTTTTAAAAAAATCCACATCTATTTCTTAGAGTGCGTTCTGCCCATAATGTTTAGAAAATGTACTTTACTGCTGCTGTTGCACTTCTGGATAGATGCTAGAATGCATTTCTTTGTCTTCTTGTAATTTGTGCAATTACAATAAAGTTAAATCTAATCTCCAAGTATGATTGGTGTGGGGAAACAAATATAATAAATTAGAGAATTCAACAGAAGGTGGTGTGCTGCAATTATAGATCAAAACAAGGTGACACATTTGTTACTGACGTGTCCGGAGGGCAGCGACACAACTGGTGGCATGTGTTTATAGCAGCCTCGTTTGATCAACTTGACCTGCAGTGACTGCAGGAATCTTCACGCTGCATGTCGGGTATTGTTTTTCAAAGACAAGCCCGAGTTTCAAACAAACCCCAAACTGAGGAATGTATCTCATCCGCCCCAGCTCCTACTCCCACATCACAAGCTTCCAGTGCAGAAGTCCCGCCACCCCCAGCTTCACCTACACAGAAAGAGACTACCGCAATCACAACCAACAAATAGGAAATTAACCTGTTTGGACAGATGGGGGTGGAAACAGAAAGAGAAACGGATGGATGTTAGGATGGCTTCAAAGACTGCAATTCAGCTCGAGACAGATTTGTCAGCATATGCGTATGAACATCTGTGAATCTCTTTGGATGCATTCTTTGTGTCTGTGAAAACACCACGCCCAGAAATCACAGGATTTTTTTTTTTTCAATCAAATATATGTGCGTCCCAAAAACTAATATGCATACATGTTCACAATATGTACGAGCATGTGTGAATCTGCGTGTAGGTGGATGAGTTGCAAGGAGACAACACGTGTGCATCTGGGTGTTAATGAAAGAATGTGGGACTGTATGATTGTGTGTCACTTCCCCAACAGCTGTCTGTGGTCTTCTTTTTAAGATGTGTGTGTGTGTGTGTGTGTGTGTGTCTCTCACCATTCTGCAGGCCCATCCACAGCTGTTTGTGGTCTTTCTTCTGCATGTCGTTCACAACTTGACTCTTATGCTTCAGGGCGTCAGCCTCCTTGATGCTGGACATGAAGTGAGCCTCTATCACAGAGTTGGATGGGCAGTGGAGCAGGTCGTGTTCTGGGAAATTCTGACACACAGTGATGTGGAAAACATTTTATCTGAAGCTGCATGATCAAGTTGCTGATGCGCAAGTTGCTGTCTATTCACACAAATGAACATTATCATTCATTTGGTCTCATGTTTGTGTCCACCTGATAATTTATTTGGTCCCCACCGATTTCTGAGAAAAATATCTGGCTATTTAGCTTCTAAATGCTCCACTCTCTCAACCATCTAATCACTTAATGTCTGTCTGGTTCTTGGCAGGTGATGCATAATGTGTTTGTAAGTGTTTGTGTTTTTAATCGCTGTCTGTTGCTGTTGGAATAGAACTGATGAGAGCACTGAGGCTGAACCAAATCAGTAAACGTGCTGTAAAATCGCAGCTATTATTTTTAAAAACACACTAGTAACCCTATAGAGCTGCAGAGTTGATGAAAAATCGCTCTCTCAAATTCAAAAAGACGCTTACCTTAAAGTGCACAGTGATGCTCCAGGGTAACACATTATTAGAGGCATGAAGGTCAAACAGAACTCCAATTGGATAGTGCCTATAATCCAGGAAATGCAGACACAAAATAAACAATGTTACCAAGGACACTTTTTTTTGGATCGCCATTAATTCAACCTCACAGGCACCAGTTGCTCCCAAGACCAAGAAACCAGCATTAATCCCTTTATTCAAGTCTTTATTAGCTGATTGGCTGTATCATCATTATTTTAAAAGATTACAACTAAGTGGTTTCACGCTCACATTTTGGAACGCTGTTAGCTCAAATTCATCAGTCAAATCATTTATTGTCGCAAACCTTTTGTCTCAAAGGCCTTAAGTTAAACCACAACATGCTTAAAAGAGCTTTATAAAAAATTGGACTCAGTTTTCTTTTTTATTTTGATGTTTTTGAGTCAATCTTCCTACAGGCACAGTGTGTGACCTTCACAAAACAGATATATTCCGCTCTAATAGTTTTGTTAGTCACTTCCTTTGTTGAGAATAGTCTCACTAAGATGATTGTGGTATTTAAGGTATTTTTATGTTCTGCTACACGCACAAATCATGGCGCTCATTTTGCACTACGTCAAATGAGACCGACAAACTAATCTGCACTAAACAGGTTAAAACTATTGAGGAACTTGAGAAACAGGTTAGCAGACCCTAAAGCGATCTGTTCATGTCACCAGGCATCCAGAGGTAATTGTCATTTCATAGTGAGAAACGAAGAAGGATAAAGTCCTCAAATTTGAGAAGCTGAAACCAGCAAAAAAATGATATTGCAATGACATTTCTACAAGACAACAAATGATTAAAAGACTATTAGTTTTCTCTGATGCGTTTTAGCAGAACTAGGTTACACAGATGTGATTCTACTGTAAACCATCTACTATCTGTATTACAATACTGACACCATGTGGCTGAACAGTGTGCTTGAATTCGGTTAACTGGCTCTGCTGCAGTGGTCAAACAGAGTCGACCATGTTTAACTCAAGGTGTAGCTGGCTGTAAATGAATGAGCTGTTAGTGGTGTCTTAGGGAGCATGGATGATTAGGTGACGAAGCACAACAAGCCATGCAAGCAGCAAAGAGATTATTTAGTCCTCTGAAACAGATCAGAACAGACTGGGGAAAAGAAAACTAAATTTTTTCTTCAAAGCAACTCACTATGCCAGCCCTAGTAGTAATATGGTGCTAATTCTTATTTTGCGAAAGGAAAATACAACAAACGCAATCAGGAAAATAAAACATCAAGTTCATGATAAAAGCAAAATAAGATTCAGATTAAAAATACACTGAATTATTTTTTAAACAACCAATTCACAGTGCACCACACCTACATAACCGGGAAGAACAAGTAAAATCAGTTCATCCAACAGCCGTTCTCTTACCATTTCAGTGGTGTTCCTTCGTACTCGAACCACATCTCCTCCACGTCCTCTGCCCTCATCACTTTGAGGAAGTGTTTTTTCACCTTGTCTGTAACCAGTGTCAGGTAGCTCACCCTGGGCAACAGCAGCTGACAAAGTCAACGGGACAGAGGGAGAGGCGCATTATTAGAGGAGTACAGTCTGTTACTCTGTGCCGCACTGCTACTTCGGTCCATATGTTGCATTTTTGACATTAACAACAAAGCAGATATGCACCCTGTTTGTGTCTGCATGCTTATTTGTGTATTCATATTTAATTTTAAACGATCAGAGACTGAGGGTGTGATGTTTGCAGCTGGGACACTGAACTATGGATGAGTTCAGCAGCATCAGCTGAGGGGGGGATGTAAACTGTAATCGCCAGGACGTGCAAAAGCTCCCTCGGCAGGTAAAACGGGCGGAAACCAACTGCCAGCGGTTCACCATCCTTCGTGCAGCGCTGCTCTTTAACGCTAATGTGCGAGCATTACACCATCTCTCATTCACATACATGGTCAGTCCCCCGCCTTTCTTCTTACCACTCTCCCTCCAGCTCATCAAATCTAAAGCAAAGTCCATACAATACACCTCCTCCGTCAAGGTGAAATACAAGCGCAAGAACTTACTATACTCTCCTTTACTTATCCAAATGGCAACATTACATCTAATCATCCAGCATAGAAACTGACTTATAGTTGTCGTTTGTGATTTGTTGCATACAGTCATATTGTGGAGCGGCAATGAATAAGGTCTGCCATGTCTCGCCACACAAACCAGACTACTGTTGGGATGTTATTAATAGGTGAACTGTGTTTACATTTGTTAACTCTCGATGGGAAAGAGCTGCAAGCAGATGCAATCAACAATCTTCACCAGCACTGAAAAATTGTATAGTATAACAAAGTCAACACTAGCAGACCGGTTCTTGCAGTCTGCATGTGTTATCTATGCAGCTGCTGTAGTTTCAGAAGACACATCAACATTTTTGTGGTACGTGTCACCTATGTGACAAAGCTATGGCAACTATTGGCACTGCCGTTAGACCTATAACCCCTCAATGCAATAGAATAAACCACATGGATAACTGGATCTTATCCTCATATTTAAGCTGAATTTGCAGAGGTACTTAGGAATTTGAAGCACATGTGGATCTTGTGTAGGTAGAGACCTGAAGTAACAGAACTTATTTGTCTTCCAGCCAACAACAAGCACTGGCAGTAACCAGACATAAAGGTGTACACAAAAAACATCAATCCATGCATCCATTATCTATACACCGCTTCATTCTCTGTAGGGTCGCGGGGAGGCTGGAGCCTATCCCAGCTGGTTCAGGGTGCAGGCAGGGGACACCCATGACAGGGACAGGTTACACAGAGAGACAAGCACACTCATATTCACACCTATTCACACAATTTAGAATCACCAAGTAACCTCAGCAGGTTTTTGGACTGTGGGAGGAAGCTGGAGAACCCAGAGAGAACCCACGCTGCACAGGGAGAATATGGAAACGCCACACAGAAAGATCCCAGGCATCCTAACCAGGACATGAACCGGGGACATTCTAGCTGTGAGGTGACGGTGCTAACCACAGAGCCACCATGCAGCCCACACAATTTTTAAAAAATGTGAAAGAGCATTGCAGATAACACATCTATTAGACTTGTTAGTAGGAGTAACTTTTCAGCTATATACACCGTGCTGGTGATAAATAAGAGGTTTTCTTGTTTTGCTAACATGAAGACATCTGGAATGTCTCGGTATTCATCCTCACATACTGATGTCAGATAAAGAGCTGGAGGCTCAGCAGGAGCTTCCAGGAAGCATGGAGGAGTCTCTTAACACTGGTGGCAGACACAAACACAAGCGAGGTCTTGCCTCAGGGTGAGTTCAGAGTGAAACTGTTCAACTTACATAGTAGGGCTCGGCCTCTCTCTCAGTAACCTCATCCTGGTTCAGAGTAAAGCAGGTGGGTATCCGGCCAAACCAAACGTCTCTCAGCACGTCCTTGTCATCTGCCATGCTGCTGCTGCTGCTGCTCCCAGTGGCACATAAAGAATAATTTCTCCAAAAACGGGAGCCTAAATCCAAAGGCAGACTGCTTCCTGCTGTCAGCAACAGAGCAGAGCACACAGGCGAGCATTAGGAAAACTTTCAGCATCACACCAACCCCAAAACCTCATTTAAGTATGCAGTGCAACATAAGCTAGTACCACCTTCATTCAAGTGTTTTAGCTCTCGGTAAGGCAGATATATCTCGAGTGAATTGTCGGTGGAGTTATTACTAAGTTATAGTCCAGTACGAGGCAACGACTCACCTGCTAGACTTCCAAACTTACTCCACGCCTGTCAAACTACGCAGCTGTAATGCAAAAACTGACGTTAGCTTCGGGGCTAGGTAAGCTACCACAGCTAACAGAAACATACCGAAAAACAGTTTACCGTAAACAAATGTGCTTGCTTCCTTATTATTGTTACTATTTTCCTCAAACAGAAATTTCTAGTGTAGGAGAATGTGACAACGATATGTGAGAAAACCTTACTTTTTTGTCGATGTTTTGTAGTCGGGTTGAATGGAAGAAGGGCCGTCTACCGATGTTGTCATTCCCCTGCTGTCACCGGAAAAACAGCTGAAATACCGCATTTGCCGCAAAACAGTGACACCTGGCGGCAGCGCTCTTAACTGCAATAACTGAAAAACTTTTTTTTATGCAATTGTGCTATCAGTATTATCGGCATTTATGACTTAGATGAAAAATATGAATTAAATACAGCACGTCTAATTTGTTACAAAATTGAACAGGCAATGAATTTTCCCGTAAACCTGAATTGAAACTTCAACCGGTCGTGCACACGTCATCAATGTGCGCCGCCTCTACGTACACTTATTACGTACGTATATTTCTGGTGTTTGGGTTCTGTCCAGTGGTGTCCGTCAGTAGCTTCAAGAATGGATAAAAAATTGGAGACGGATAACTTGGAAATGCGTCTTCAGGCGCTGGAGAGTCGTATACACGGCGAAAGAAGAAATAAAAGTGGAAAACCTGTCAAGGTTCGTCCTTAATAATGTCTGTTTATATAAGTGGTGGTTAGTGAAAAAGCTAGCTCGTTATTAGCCTAGCAGAGCTAACGATAGCTCTGTCACTAGCTGTGAGTGAACGCCCTTATATTTCATACAAAGCAACTGTATTCTTGGTTTTTAGAACAAGTTTGTGCAGTAATTGTGACAGCCGCTGGTCAATAAAAACTGCAGTATATTTATTTTCCAGCTCATGTGCCAGTTATTCGTTTAGCTGTTAATTTGGTTAGCTTTTTAGCTTTAACCTAGCTTAAATGTAAAGAGATGTTTACATATATATAGGTATTGAAAGCAGCTGGTTGTTAGCGGCTAATTTTATTGCAATATGTGGTTAAGAGGCCATTTTTGTGTTTTAGGAGTATTTATGAGTAAAAAGAAATTAATAATATCAAAGTCTCAGATAATTAAACGGGTAAATGCATTCTTTGGGGCTAGTGTCAGTTTATTTAGTCGGTACCACAAATGTGTGAAAGCATTACTCTGCAGCAGGGCTGAGCAATTATTCAGCTGCAAGAAGAAATCGCTGTTTGGATCCATGCAATGCTCAAATTGTCCAGGCTGCATTTTCTGACACGTTGTGCAGGGCGTCTGACCCACACTGCATTTACTCTTATTGTTATTACTTTAGATAACTTGATTACAGAATGTGCGTTGCCTGGATGCTTCTGACCCATAAGTAAATGACATACCTATTTCAGGATCTGAGACTGTTTACAGAAATGTACTATTATTTTCTCATTGAAGTTGCTGTTTTTTTATGACTTTTTTTGTTGTTATTTAGCAAAACATAATTAGAGCTTTTGTGATAAATGTTCTGTTAATGTTTATTATTACCCCATGTGGAAATGATCCATGTCTTAAATGTGTGTAGATGTGCTGTTTGGGCAAAAGAGTAGACTGTTCAGCGTTTTCACGGTGTTTAAGCAAAATAGAAGGTAAAATAGTGATACAATAATTACTTACTGATTGACTATTTGACTAAATAATATACAAAAAATCAGTTGCTATTTTTTTTTCACACAGAATTGCTTTATCCTCTCAAGTATGAGGATTTGAAAGCACCACACCAAGCTCTTAGACATTGCACGTTTAAATCAGCATAAACAGAAGAAAGAAGTGATTAACTGTATAAAAAGTTGACTAAAACAAGATAGCGCCATCAAGAGGAGTGTCTCATCAGAGGATCATGTGTTGTGAAAAGCACATGACATGCTGTAACTTACAAAGAGACATTGAAACTGGTTTGTGTGCTGGTCTTGTATTTCCAACAGTAGAGAAAATGTCATGGCACCCTACTTATGTAGTGTTTTTTATCTTGACAAGAAATGTTTTGATATATTTTTGTAATTGAAGGAAACAGAGTCTCATTCCCGTTGTGCAAAGAAGGAGACCATAAAAGTAGTTTGCAATTATGCAAAAGTAAATTTCGTAGTTTGGTCTGCAAACTGAAAAGGGAAATAAACCCCCAGTCCTCAAAAACATGACAACATAGCAAATCAGAGAAGAGAGTGCACCAGTTACAAAGGCCCTTCTGCTGTGTAGGCACCTGCCTGCTTCATTTAAGCTGGAGCTTATGTGTTTGTGCTCCTTGTTAGGCATAGTACCACATATTGCAGAAAAAGGCTGCTCAGACTAAGTAATGCTATCTAGTTTAACGACTTTTGTCTACCCTTGTTGATTGCTATCATTAAGTCTAATTCATTTCTTTTGTCCTGCAGTGTGCAGAGTCTTTGGCAAGGATTCAGGCAGGTCTGACCAACACAGCCAACAAGAGAGAACGAGTAAAGATCCTGCACAAGAAGAGTGAGTCACACATTACTGTATTAGCCCTTACACTTACAGGCTTGTCATGACATTCGTTTTTTATGTATAGATTTTTCACGTTACTTCAAAAGAATCCTTCTTTACATTACACTTTTGTTTTTGCATCGTATCGTGAAATTTTACTTTTTTTCTTTTTGTTTTGTGCTCAGTGCCTTAACCTTAAGGCGTCACCAATATTTTCATAAACTAATGTCATTTAATGAGGCTACTAAAAATTAGAAACATCAAAATGCTGACATAAGACGCCCAAAGTCCTGTGACGCTGTGATGATGATGAGATGTCAGTAAGACACAGCAGTGCTTGCAGGAATTTGTGGTTGTTAGATTTTAGACTGTGTCTGTTGGGTTTCGTTCTATCATTTTCATTGTTGCTGTGATGTAGTTGAGGACCTTGTCAAGTACCTGGACCCCCAGTTTACCGACCACATCACCGTACCTGATGCCATGAAGCTGGAGTTCATCCTGGCTGGTAAGAAGCAGGAAATAAATGACATGCAAAATACCATTATTTACAAATGCAATCAAATGGATCTCTTTCTTTATATGAAGACACATTTTATTTAAAATTCTAATAGTTAATATGACACACAGAAATTTGAGTGTTGTATTTACGTCTTATTTTGTGTGTCATTCTGCACAGAGGAAGACTTCTTGCTTTCTCAGGCGGTTCTGCTGGAGCAAGTGAGCAGCCTGCAGCCACTATTGGACAGCACCTACATCAGAGGTAAATTTAACCTTGCATGACACATCCAAATCAAGGCCAAAGCAACTTCTGCTCTGTCATTTTTAACCTTGACAGCAAAGGAGGAAGAAACTCGTGCTTACCCAGTTATCTGTTCGATAGCCAGTGTTTTTTTGTCCTATGTTAATTGGACATCACACATTGGGTCAGTGTGTTTGTTTTTCTCCAGTTCCAGTACCTGCTTTAGTCCCTGTTCTGAATTTCCACCCTCTATACCCAATCAGGTCTGTGATCGCTAAGGTTTTGTCATGTGTGTTTGTACAGATGTGCCTGAACACGCCACCAAGTTGCAGCGTCTTTCACAGATTCACATCAAAGAGCAGGTAGACTCTTTACTTCGTCTTTCAACATCTCTTTGCGTCTCTCTTGTTTGCTTGTGTTTATTAGATGTTGTTTGTTTTACAGGACCAAACTGAGACTCAGTCATTGGAAGTGAAAAAGCTTTTTGAGGAATACAACAAGATGGTACACTTCTGCTTTTATAAGCCGATTTCTTTCTGTTTTAATTTCAGTTAATAAAAAAATTAACACAAATATGTTAACTGTTAAACAGCAATAGAAATACTTATGTTACATGTTGTACCTTCTTATTTCTTGAATGAAAAAGACGGAACAGTTGTATATAAACAATCAATTAACAAAACAGTTCTGTGATTATCTGAATCATCTGTCTAGTTAACTGGTGCTTAAGTTTGGATCTGCCAGCCACTGTAGGGAATCAGAGAGACCTCTAGATTCCCTGCGGTGTGTTACGAACCTCTTAGAGAACCATTGTGCAGGAATCAAGTTTCATCTAATGATTTGGTGGCAGATTGCAACCTATTGAATAGCCCTCCCTTTATGAGCACTGTGAAGAATGTAGTGGCTGCCACTTCAAATTAAAACTGTGAAATGTCCTCTCTGGGTTTGGTTTATTCATTGTGGGCGGCAGTAGAAACATGGCAGCACAATATGATGAGCTCTGTGCAAGAGGTCACACCCCCTATGTCCTCACATATATTCATACCCTCCCATTAAAAAAACAGCTGTCACTGAAATAAGTTGAAATTGACAAAAGTAATAATAAATACAAATTGAATGAAAATTGCTTTTGAATTGTGGTTCAACAGAAATATTAAAAAACAAGCATGATGGGACCCGTAGACTAATATTTAGCTGAACAACCCTTTGAGCCAATCACTGCAATCCAGTGTTTCCTGTAACTCTCAGTCAGACTTCTGCACCTGTTGACAGGTGTTCTGATTTCACTGCTCATCAGCAAAGTGCTCTAATTTGTCTGGCACAGTTTTTTTTTAAATTATTCTTTTCAACCACAATTCAAAAGCAATGTCTCATTTCACTAAATTATAATTCAGCAAATTTTATTTATTATGACTTTTTTCAGCTTCTAGTCATTTAAGTGACTTTTGTGAATTTTGTCTTTTTTTTAATGGAAGGGTAGGAATACATCTGAGGATGACTGCAGATATAAAGAGCTCATTCACAATAAAAATGGAATTATGAAAACTGCGTTCCATTTTTTGCAAATAGACTCCTCTGAATCCCTTCTACTGGTCTTTTAATAACATAAATTGCTGCTAGGACGAAGCTCCACCCCCACTGACATCTGACTTCTGATTGGCAGATGTTCCTGCTATCCAAGCAGTTCACCCAATGGGACGAGACTCTGAGGAAGATGGAGGAGGCCAAAGGAATCCGACCTGTGGAGTAGTTACTGTCAGCACACACACACAGGCTTCCGATGATGAAGAAGAAGAAGAAGGAGACTGCACTGTGGTGGGAGGTTTTTGATCAGATGTAGCTTGTTCTTCTCCACTCAGTCAACAAGAAAGAGACACAAGCATCACTACATTTCACAGTTTTTAACTGCTAGTTAATTTGTTGCCGTTTAATTAAACCCATGATATAACATTGTTACCCTTAAATACCACAAGAGATGGTTAAAATTTTCAGAAGTGAACTCATTCATTGTATGTGGTTCAGTGTCTATTATTGTAACCCTAAAGACTGATGAGTCTCCCAGCAGCTGGTTGTGGCGCCCAAACACGATGAGTAACGCTCATACAAACCCAGTCATACAGTCAAACTCATGTGACTTCCATCTTCTGGAAAACTGTTCTCCCATCACCTGACCTGTAGCTCACACAGCTCCTGAGTCGCTGCTGTTATTTATTGTCAAGACAACAGAGCTTTTTTATGCTTTCACATCGACTTCACTTGTAATGCATTCCAACGCTGCCTCCCTTCTGCAAACTGGTCACAAGACTTGTTCTCCTGCTGTTCCCTCACGTCTTCTCCAAGGCTTTAGATTTGCCCTCTGGATGCTTCGTGACATGATTTGTTAAATTAGCTTCAGTATTCTTTTTAATATTCTGGTTTTCCAATGTTAAATATGTATTATTCAGGATACAGCATGACGGTGGTTAATACAATAAATATTACTCTTTGAAACCTGTGTGCTGTCTGTTGTGTAAGCTGTTTGAAACTGCAGACAGAGTCAAGAGTGTCTGTGTGCGTTAATGCAGGCGGTTTTGAACCTACTACAGGCTGATGTTGGTGCACTGAAGCCCTCCTGCTCACTTTCAGAATGTCATTTTAGAAAAGGGGAGAGTATCATAGGGTTTTGGTGCTAAATGTGTATGTAGCTGTTTATTTCGACCATGTCCTGCAATGAAATACTTGTGGGAAAACATGATACCGTCCTGGCCACCAAACCAGTATGAAAAGGCTGTTATCTGATCTGACTCATACATGTCAGAACACTTTGGCTGTAATTATGCGTCAGAGCAGGTACAAGATTCATTACTGAGACCCCCTATTGCTAAATGTGTAAGCACACAATATGTAAGAACACTTTAAAACGTTCTCAGCCTCATCAGAAAACATCACAAGAGAAAGATTGTTCTTGTGTTATTTTTCAGTATCATCTCCTTTAACTTTGATTTAATTGGTCCACCGATGTTCAGGCTTCACTGTCCCCTCCAGATGAAGGTTTTATTCTTTTGAATATTTGAGTTTTTTTGGTCTGTATGCAGTAAAAATGGCAGCTACGCCTCTTGTTTCTGGGTGAGGCAGAGAACCTTTTGAAGTACCTACATAAAAACACATTCCTTTAATATGTTAGAATCATGCACGGTTACACTTTCACCGTGGTAACCTTTAATATTTGATTTTCACTGGTTCTTAAGTAAAGGTCACCAGCTCAAAGGAATGAATTAGATTTTTTTTCTAATAAAAATATACTTACACTTTGCACAGTGACATCGTTTTTGCTACTTTGCCTCTGGACATCCACACAATGAAGCCATCAAGATGTGAGTGAAGCACAGACTTTCAGCTTTTTATTTAAGGGGCCAAAGTAAAATATTGCGTTCACTTGTTATACAAGACTGATATTAGCGCAATAGTTTTACATTTTCTTTTCAGTTTACACTGTCAGAGTGGGTGACAGTCATATGACTACACTGGATTACAAAACAATACTTTTTTGAAGGTGTCTAGGATTTTTTAACTGATTTAGGACATCTTTGCAACGCTGAATCCAAAAATGACATCTGCTTTTCTCTATCAGGTCAGGTTTTTATGCCAAAAATCGATTTTGCCACTCAATCGATTACGTCTTTTGACATCAGCGATTGATTTTAGTATTTCTCACATGAAATCAGATTTTAGAAGAAAAATTTCATTTTCTAATCCTTTTCATAACCTAAATGATCCAAAAGTTGATGAGCATAAACATTTGTAAAGGTAAATACAAGCAAATTGTATGTTTCATCAGCATTGCTCAAAATTCAGGGCTTGAACTTGTGCTTCTTGGAACAACCAGCACCAGGTTTATCTCTCTTCAGAGTCCAGCAGTAATCAGCCATCATGACTGCATCCCAGCATCCCTGATACCTGGTCTCCATCTCTTTTATGTCCTGATGGATTCTCTCCCCTTGTTCATTACTCACTGATCCGAGATTCTCAGGAAACCATTCAATATGCGAGAACAGGTAGTGCATTTTGATGCTCATGTTGCACCCAAGGTTTTTAAACTACAACTAAAATGATGATCACACCATCTGGTTGTGTTCACCTTGATAAAATCATCTGACTCTAATGTGTTGTTCTTAAACCAGGGGGGAAACTTTCTATCTAAATTTAATTCACCTGCAAATATTTATAGTATCAACTTGTAAAGGTTTCAGGATTTGTTCATATCAGGAAATAGAAAAATCATTTTGTATGATACAAAGCATAGATACCTGCACATGTCCACAGAAATGTAAAAAAAGTGCATGTGGTGACAAATCTTAATTTTGACCTCATTGAGTAAAACCAATGTAATATTTGGATTCAGCACATTGCAAATGTTCAAAATCAGCTCAAAAAACTTTGACACCAAAATGGGTGTAGACCAGTGTTTTATATCATGATTTGACTGCTTTGGATCACAAGGCCTCAAATAATCAATGAACAAATCGTCTGGATATTTTTGCATTTATTTTTTTTAATGTCAGAAGCAGTTTACTTTGTTGGTTTTTGGCCAAAACATTGTCCTTGAAAATACGTTGCATCATTTTATCAAGGAAAAGATCAAACATTCCCACATTCCAGTGAGTCATTTGTAAGTATTTGATTTCTTTGAAATTGATTTTTTTTTTAAATATCAGAATGCTTGTGAATTACAATCGACACCTAAAGTTCATTTCACAGCTGCTTTTCTACTTTAGCTAAATGTGTACTGTATGTTTTAAGACACTCTAATGCATAATGAAATGAAAAATACTTTATTTATCCCAGAAGGGAAATTCAATCTTGTAAAAGCTCACTTTTTTTTTTTAATCAATATAACATACATTCCACAAAACAAAAACAATCATTCAGTCAGTCAAATTTGTTTTTTAAGGTGATGGCTGTTGGCAGGAAGGAATTCCTGTATCTCTCCGTTCGACAGCGAAGCTGACGCAGCCTCCCACTAAACACACTCTGTTGATTCTTCACTGTGTTGTGGAGAGGGTGAGAAGAATCCTCCATCATCTTCATCATCTTGTGCAGCATTCTTTTTTGAACAATCAGCTCCAGTGGTTCCAGAGTTATCCCCAGCACAGAACCAGCTTTCCTGATCAGCTTGTTTAGTTTCATGTCATGCAGACAGAAAACTGTCGTCTTAACTGCTTTTACCTTTGAAGTCTGGGATTTTAATCATGTTCTGATTTACTAACAGAAACATAAAACACAGACAAGTCTTTCTTTCTTTCTTTTATTTTAAGTAAGACCTGCATTTATGTGAGAGAAGGTCTCAGATTGGCACACCTGGGAGAAGAGGACAGTACTTAGCACATTGATTAACGGCTTGGCAGACTGCTCGAACAATCGTTCCTCTCTGTAACAAAAACAAGAATATATATAAAAATAGAGGCGAGTTCTGGCCTACTACCAAGCTACATACTACACAAGGCAATACCACTTTTCTAGAACAGTCCAACAGTATCATCTTGGTGCATTACTATCCAGACATCTATATTCATGATGACATGTTCATAGTGTGGTAAGCAAGTTTAAATGAGCTAAAAATGCTCTAAGTAAACAAAAGAACTACGTGTATTTCTCACATGTACATTTCTCTACATATGTTTCATGTATCACTCTCAAGTGTTGTCTTGTACTCTTCTAAATGTTACAGTTTTCACATATTTGAGCAAGTGCAAAGTAGTTTTCCTGTTCTGGTAAAGCTTAGTCAGATTTAGAACAAAGTGGAGCCCCTTCTAAATCAGTCACATACCTGTTTTGAACTGGACTCTCCATAGCGTACATATGTCACAAGGTGTTCACAGTTGTTTCCCCACGGTGTGTAGATTCCACAATTTCTATGCTTCTCATTGATTCGGTTAATTATAGCTGTTTCATTTAGTGTGAAGTTTGGTGGGTCAGAGTTGTCTATCTGGAATTCCTGGCCATTGTTGCGTCTACCGAAAACACAGTTGCCAACAGGCGCAGCTTTTACAGAACCTGTCACGGATGTGAGAATAAACAGCATGAAATTAACACACAACTTCTGCTGTCTTCCTCCTCATTAAATGATCTTATTTAGACTTATGCCATAAGAAGACCTATGATTCACATGCTCTCAAACGTCAACAGATTAGACCTTAAGCTTAGCAGCAAACCTGAAGCAGATGGGAGCTGTTGGCTACAAACTGAGTGTGTGAATTAAAAATGAAGCCTTTTAACAACTCAAAACCATTTGATTTGACACATTCACGTTGTTGTTTTGAGGTTTTCTAGCATTGCTGGTCAAACATTCCCCATCCTTCAACTGACTGTTAGTGTAAGTTGTGTACTTCCATTTTCACACACTTGCCTGCATGATGAAATATGTCTTCCCCAGGATTTTTATGAGGAAGGTTTCTGTCGCCCACATAAATAGCAAAGTGGGTATAGATGGGCGGTACGCAGCGACAGCCACGGTCAAAAGCGAGTATGTCTCCGAAGGCAGGCTGTGAGTGACAGAAACCAGACATGCATACCAGCGTTACAATCACTACAAAGCTGTGAGACACAACAGTCAATGTAACTTACATTGTTATGGATAGCTTTAAATTATTTGATAGTAGTAAATTATGAAGTATTGAAATTGATTGCTAATAAAATGAATTTATTTAAAAAGCTGCCATAGAAAACATTTAGGAGTTAAAGAAAGAATAAGTTAAAAGATCAGCTTCAAAGTTAGCGTTTAAACTGACTTCACAATGTAAACAATTTACTGTTTTTAACTTTACTTTACTGTTAATTTACAGATTTTTCCTGTTTTACTGAATTACAGATAACACCCAGTATGCTCACATTAATAAACATTTTATTCAAATAGTAACTGTAAAAAATGAGACTGAATCTATAAATAATGTCCAAATCAAAAACATATAAATATAAGGCCGGAGTCATAACGATGTGAAATGAAATATTCTTGATTTTTCTTTTTTTTTTTCTTTTAATAAAAAAAGAAACAAAAACCCTGACTTACTTTACGATCCACAGTCTCTACAAACGTGATTGCCAACTGCAGAATCACAATCGCGATGAGGTTCCTCATTTTTGCCATTTTGAAATCCTGACATGACAAGTAGAGAACATTTCAATTAACCAACACCACGATCAAGTCATATGACATTACAGAAAGATGATGTGCTTCCACCTAGCGTCTTTTTTTTTGTGAGGAAAAAAAGAAAGTTACATTTAAAAAAAGTTAATCACAAAAAATCCATATTTTAGAATTGAGAGAAACAGCAGAGAACATCAGTCAACATCAGCAGTGAAGCGTTTTATGTTAAAGTGACATTTTCAGTGAGTGTCAACTGTGTCAGAATCACCAGCCTATAAAATTAATTATACTGTTTGCAACCAGTGAACTGGATTTACAGGAGGACAAAGAATCTAAATGATGACTTACTGAGGTGGTGAGGTGATGGTAACTGGATGCAAAAGAAGTGAGTCACTTTGTACCCTGAAAGTAAACACAGATGTTTTATTCTTTAGTAAGATGATCACATAAAGATTTTGACATATTTTCAAAGCATTTCTTGAGCAATCTTGAACTTTTTTTTTTTTTTTTTTTTTTACCTCAGTTATAATTTAGTGCACGAAAATCAGATGTTAGCCTGCATCTGTTCACCA